ACGCAGCACATGCCACACATGCGTGCCACATACGCAGCACATGCCACACATGCGTGCCACATACGCAGCACATGCCACACATGCGTGCCACATACGCAGCACATGCCACACATGCGTGCCACATACGCAGCACATGCCACTCATGCGTGCCACATACGCAGCACATGCCACACATGCGTGCCACATACGCAGCACATGCCACGGCATGACTAAGCATACTTTTGACCCCGGGCATTTCTGAGCTGTAAATAAAAGGAATTTATGGGCGTCGTATGGTCGGCCGCTGAAAATATGACCAAAATCTATTTTTCTTTGTTCTATTGAATGGATAATCAAATTCAGAGGATAGAGCATATGTTCGTACAGCGTGACGCAGCGTTACTTTGGTACAAAGAGCTTAGCATGTAACGTTACAAGCATCATGTAACGCTGGTTTTAAATTATGCAGTGAAATTATACAATAATGCACATTTACAAGTTATATAACTGAGTCCTGTTACACTACCTCATATACAGGAGGTTATAAGAATATTGCCAAACCGTTCTTTACCTAAGTATAAGTACTATATGTATATATATTTATGATAAGTATTCTATGTATAAGAATATTGGCAAATCATTTTTACTTTTTGGCCAGTTTTAACTGGAAACTTTTCTTTAATGCCATTCGTATCAAGTGAACAATTAATGTATCAATGAATTAAATTAATCAATTAATTAAATTATTTAATTAATTGAATTAATGTAATTAATTCTATTAATTCATAAGCGAAACAATATATTCATGCAATAAGAAAATATTAATGAATTTGCAAGTCTTCAGAAATGACTCTAACAATAATAACAATACAATAAATTATCTGGAACACATTCGCTGTATATTATTTCAATAAGCGAAACAAAATAGCTTATGTCGTTCATAAGCAGAAATCAGATCTGCAAGTCACGTTGTTGTCAGAACCTGAAATGCCCGGGCAAATTAATCCGACCTGCAACATACGGTAAACATGAAACTTTTATGCTCACATACAACATGTACGTAAACAACATAGCGCATCCTACATACAAGTCTACATACAACATAGCATATCCTTCATACAACTCTACATACAACATAGCATCTCCTACATACAACTCTACATACAACATAGCATATCCTACATACAAGATCCTACATACAAGTCTACATACAACATAGCATGTCCTACATACAAGTCTACATACAACATAGCATGTCCTACATACAAATCTTGTCTACACTTGTACTATCAGAAGTATGAATAAATCTATTACCTCTACAAAGTAATACGTAATGCCCAAAAAGTTACACACTTTCTTACCTACAGTAAGAGCAGCGAGCCTTTTACTGTTATGCCTCTTTACGGAGCCAAAGTGAGTCAGGATAACCCACACAAACGTATGCACTGCATCGCCATTCGTACAATGTCTCACGTATTTCTCTGAATTAAGCTTGCGGTCTTCGAAAATTGATGAATAATTCAGGGCTCCTTTTCTCTCTTAGCAAACATTGCCGAGAATTTAGGTTGCAGTTGTTGTGAATAACCTCACTCAGAGAAATGAGCGAGACTCGTTTCAAATAGCGATGCACTTCTTGTCCCTTTGTGAGTCATCCTGACGCAGTTTGGCTCGGCAAATGGGCGTAACAGTGTTACGTCCGCCCCTATAGCTCATGCATTTCGTAAGAACGTGGGTCGCTATTTTCACAATGTAACGCAGTTATTTTTTTAAGTGATAGTCTCTCCTTACGTCCTCGTAGAAAAAGTTCTGCATCATGTCACTCAGCTGATTGTTACTTAAATAATTTCATTAATAGTGAAATAATTAGTGTTAGTCATTCTTTAGTGACATCATTAAATAGTGAGAATATATCTTTATTAGTGACTGATGCTTACATTTGCTTTTGAACATGCAGCCATTTTTTGTTATATTGTTTTTTGTTGGTATTACTACTAATTCGATCAAGACTATTTTGCGTTATTTTTCACCTGCACCCTTCCATTCAGCCGTATTTGTGCCATTTTATCTAGCCATATTTATGTCTTTAAATTTAGTCATATATATGCCTTTATATTTAGCCGTGTTAATGCCTTTAAATTTAGTCGTATTTATGCCTCTACATTTAGCCGTATTATATATAATGCCTTTACATTCAGCGGTATTTTCACCTCTTCATTCAACCGTATTTTTGTCCCTCAATTTACCCGCATTTTTGCATTTTTCATCATTTGTACTCATTTCTTCTCATTCATATTCTTTACATTTTCATTCAGCTGTAGTTTTTTCATTTCTATGAATCCATTTTCTCCGCTTTTGCATTTAGCCCCGCTTTCGCCTTCATATTAACCGTATTTTAAGCCATTTAATTGAGCTTTTTCTTGTTCAGTAAATTTTCACGCGTACACTCCAACATAGTTTTAGCCATTTAATTGAGCCGTATTTTTGGCCGTTTAATTGAGCCGTATTTTTGGCCGTTTAATTGAGCCGTATTTTTAGCCGTTTAATTGAGCCTTTTTTTGGTCAGCAAATTTTCACACGTACACTCCAACGTATTTTTAGCCATGTATTCGAGCCGTATTTTTAGCTGTTTCATTACGCCGTATTTCTATCCGTTTAATTGAGCCGTATGTCTATCCGTTTAATTGAGCCGTATGTCTAGCCTTTTACTTGAGCCGTATTTTATCCATTTAATTGAGCCGTATGTCTATCCGTTTAATTGAGCCGTATGTCTAGCCGTTTACTTGAGCCGTATTTTATCCATTTAATTGAGCCGTGTGACTATCCGTTTAATTGAGCCATATGTCTAGCCGTTTACTTGAGCCGTATTTCTATCCGTTTAATTGAGCCGTATTTTTATCCGTTTAATTGAGCCGTATTTTTTTCTCCAGTACTTCGTGTCGCTGGCTGTGGCTATCCTCGTCGAAGTCGCCGGCATCGTCGCACTGAACATCCTCGGCACCAAGGTACTGTAATTAATTACCCGTATTAATATGTCTCATTTATTTATTATTTAATAGAATAGAATTTACGCATCATTTAATGCACGTAAACCCATTTCGTACGGTATTCGGCCGTGCAGTTGAAGTTTTTTCGTGCAGTTTAATTGTTTGAAATGCTGATTTTGATTGGTTCGCTATTTTTACATTTTATATATTAATTATATATAGATATATACCGCTGTCTGTATATTCTAGTCGTATATAATATTTTAGTGTATTTCCAAAAGAACAGTGGTTTCATTGAATATAATACGGGCCGTATTATATATTTACCGCACAAGAAAGCATCGAGTATCGACAAATGTCTTGGAATCTCATGTACTACAAACTATTACAAATCACTGTGCAAGAATATATATAACTGAAAGTAATTACCGTATTGCACAACAAATGTCTTGGACGCATTGAAAAATCTACTGCAAACTATTACAAATCCCCTGTACAAGAATATATATAACTTAAAGTAATTACCGTATTGCAGATGGAAGACATCCTCGTGAACGGCTGGGCTGAGGTGAACCAAGGTACCAGGAACATCGTACAGGGCACCGTGAGTACCGTGCAGTGACTCATCTTCCTTCCTTGCACTCAAAGAAATGAGTGAAACTCTGTACTTTATTGGCGGTGCATTATTTGCTAATGTGTGGGTCATCCTGATACAGTTTGGACCAAGGGGAGTATCAGTGATACTTGCAGAAAGTGTGTCATTATTTGGACAATTTGACGCTTTAATTTTCTGTGTGTGCGGACCGTGAACCCTAACTCATGGTTCACGGTCGACGCATTTGTTAAGTGCGATGACGCATTTATTAATTAAGAAGTAATTATATTTCACATAAACATTCTCGCAATTCATTCAGTTTTTACAAAATTTACTGTTTTTTCCAGGTTGTTCATTTATTTTTAATTGTAAATGAATATAATAATACGAATAATTGATGGTTTATATGATAATATTTCTAAAAATAATTTTGGTGCTGTAACTACTAGTCTTTCGTCCATTTGTGAGTCAATTTATGCATATATATATATATATGTTAATTAGGTTATTTGCGTTACGTTAATTTACGTCACGTTACGCTAATGTCTACATTAATTTACGTTACTTTTTATGTAAATTTACGTTACTCATCGTTTATTTTTACGCTAGTTTACGTTTCGCTAGGTTAATTTCTACGTTTTTTACGTTACATTGCGTTTATTTTTACGCTAATCTAATTTTTTCAGTTGAATTGCTGCGGCTTCTACGGACCACGCGAGTTCGCGTACACGAGTTACCCCATCGACGACTCGTGCTACGAGAGCGTCGAGGGTGATGACATCAGCGTGGCGCCCCTCACTCTCAAGCAGGTGGGTGCTCACTGGGGTCATAGGCGTGGTATGGGTGGTTTTAGGCGTGGTATGGGTGGTCATAGGCGTGGTATGGGTGGTCATAGGCGTGGTATGGGTGGTCATAGGCGTGGTATGGGTGGTTATAGGCGTGATATGGGTGGTCATAGGCGTGGTATGGGTTGTTATAGGCGTGGTATGGGTGGTCATAGGTGTGGTATGGGTGGTCATAGGCGTGATATGGGTTGTTATAGGCGTGGTATGGGTGGTCATAGGCGTGATATGGGTTGTTATAGGCGTGGTATGGGTGGTCATAGGTGTGGTATGGGTTGTTATAGGCGTGGTATGGGTATATATATATATAAGTGTAGTATTGATAGACATGAACATATGCATGATTAAGTTCACTACATTAACATCATGCTCCTTGTCATGCACCACAGTCAGGGTGCGGGCCACTACTGCAGCAGTGGTTCACGACCAACAGAGCGGTGTGGTGCTCACTGCTGGCAGGCCTAGGAGGACTACAGCTCATGAGCGCTATATTATGTCTCCACATCATCAACAAACTGAAGGATAAAACACGTACACCTTCACTCAAGACCTTCAATGACCCGTACCCACTCAATTATGCCTATTCATTATGAGGCTTAAAGTCTTAAAATTGTATTTAAAAAGTCTTGAAGTTTTTTCCAATTTTCATTTTCACGCGAGAGTGAGGAAAAATGGAATAAATAATATTTCCATTATTTCTGCATATATCAATTATTTCCCGTGATCGAGTTTCTTTTTTCAGGGGCACGTCTTTTTTCTTACTGACATTTAATGTTATTCAACTTATTCAATTTTTCGGTTGATATACAAATTAGAAGCTGACATGTAAAATAATTCAAATTTCGAACGCCAACGAATGTTAGCCTGTCCCAAAGCACGCACTTTTTTCCAGCGTACCTTGTTTGTTGATATTTTGAAATTATAGTCTGATTTACGGGGCTAACCTAAGTACTTGATTTATTGCAATCATCGGGAGAATCATCATTATCATCATTAATCATGACTCATGGTAGTTATGGGTCAGCCTGACTCATTTTTTGCTATGTTCTTCAGTGTCTCGAATTGCATACCGTACGTTGTTACCTACAGTGTCATCGTCGCCTTCACGGTCATGCTAAAAAAATGACATAAGGTTGAATTAAAAAATTGCTGGCACGTGTGATGTTTTGTAAGGAGTACGACGTCTAGAGTTCTGGTGCAACTTGCCAAAAAATTGATGAAATCTTGAATATAGTACCTCCTATTTTTAAATAAGGTTAATTCTACAATTAAGTTATAATTCAATAAGGCAGAGTTGTTTTTCTCACGTCAGCGTCTCCATAAAAAATATGTACCACTTTCTTCACCTAATCTGCTATAATTAATACATTTTTGGACGTAAGCCATGAAATTCAGAAGCAGTTTTCTATTTTTCCATGTTCAATGATAATTTTTTCATCCTGCCTTTGGTCATGAACTGTTAAATCATTGTCCAGTGGTGCTATGGCAAAAATATCAATTTACCGATTCCTTCGTAATGCTCTTAAGTGAATTTAAATAAATTTGTAAAAATTATACTTACACCACAGAATTGCTACGACTTTGATGTTGATCTGACTTTTATTTAATTAATTAAGATAAGGGACCAAAAATGTGAAATTTACACCAGTTAAACAAAATCTCGGGAAATGGTTGTAAATTGCAAGATTTTTGAGCATTCAATGATGAGAAGCAAAGCCATTTGTTGCACTTGTTAACAACGTACTCAAGTGATACTCAACGATAGCACATTCTTTTTTATGTTTAATAGTGTACTTCATACATTTGATTAGATGTGTAATGAAGAATGTTGGTTATGTATAATTACGCGTATTTACAGGGAAATAAGTTCTAACCAGAACTAATTCTCCGATAAGACTCGCTATAACCTGAAAAATTTTTGTTGTGTGACGTTATTTTATTTTTTATATAGTGAATTATATTTTTGTGTCGTGTCTGAAACGGTATTTTTGTTCAGAATATCATAAAATTTTAGGACCCGGTTTAGGACCTAAATATATATATTAAATTAATAAATTTTAGGACCTAAATATCCATACGGTTAACTATTCATGTACGGTAGGTATTGTGAATACGCGCTTGGATAGCCTCTGTGTATAAGCATTCGAATACTTACTCGACATTAATAATAATTAAATTTATAAGAATAATCGTCGTTCCGGTTAAGATTATGATTTTCAAACGTAAATGATCAGTTAATAACAGTATTATTTGTTAACGTTACAAATGAGGATGAATTAGTAATATTTAATTGTATTACATAATACTCACTAAACAAAATACAATTGAAGAATTCATCCATTGCTCTGATATTTTAAAATTAATAATTCACACACTTTAATATTTACAGAAGTTTGTATGTTTAATGAATTTACAATACAATATATTTTGTTTATTGAATTAAACTCTCATTCCGCAAAGCTTCGTCGTGGCAACAGAACATTATTTAACCCAAATAATATATAATACAAAGGGCAAAAAATTATATAATAATAAAATACAACGAAGTCGAAGGACATGAGGGATTAAAAATTCAACGCTGGTAATAACGGTACTAATTCAAGGCTTCAAGACGAACTTCAAACTCAGAAAAATTAAAGGGTCATATTGTCCAAATAGCGACACACTTTCTTACTAACAGCACGAACGGGGAGAGCGAACGTAGCACTGATACGCCAATCTGCCGAACCAAACTGGATCAGAATGACCCACACCAGCAAAAAGTGCAGCACTGTTTAGACCATATGGGTAAAGGTGTCTAAACCTAATTAGTAGTAGTTTTCTTTAGAATTTTTAAATGTTGATTGGCTTTAGACCTATTTTCATTATAGATAAAATGTATTGCCGTACTTCCATTGACTAAAAAAGAACAGTTATTATGAATTTAATATTGTAAAATGAATACGATTATTTCCGACAAATCTATACTATAAGAAGGCACACGAAAGATCCGCTCCTGCATTCTAGTCTATTTTAGTGAATAGCTCAGCTTAACATATGTCTAATGAGGGTAACTCTCGTTACCATGGCTTTTAGGCACGAATAGCATTGAGGACGGGTAATGCATCCGTACACAAAAGGTTAATCCTTTGTTGAATCCTTTCGTTACCAAGTCAGTAGGTCCGAAAATCATTGACAAACCCTATGCCGTCAGTGAAAAGAAAGGGTTGAAGACGAACCCTTTCCTTTGGGGTAAAGTGATAGAAACAAACCCTTTGCTCTCTATGTAAAGAAAGGGCTAAGGACAACCCTTTTTCCTTCGTGCAGACAAACGGTTAAAGCCTTAAGGGTTAAGAGAGTAATTGGCTTCGTAGCGCAGGAGTCGAGCAGGACGCGGTGCTCGGAGCCAGACACTCGCACACGAAACGAAACACCGTGCGCGAATATTCCTCAGGATACTGCCTGAAAATAAATATAATATAAATAAATCGATAGTTTATCAAAATAATAAAGTAACAGTTATAAGATAGTAATGTTTAAAGAAAAATCCGAGTACAGAAAATTATATTTGTAGAGGAAAAATGAAAAAAGGGAAGTCATTTGCATATGGTGAGGCTCCGGTTTTTCGTAAATTTTTTGTAGGGGCTCTGGTTTTTTGTAAGCATTTTGTGAGGCTCTGTTTTTAATCGTTTCAACTGCTATTTTTTTAATGGGAAGTCATTTGTTTATGATAAAACTTTGTTTTTTTCTTGGCATGGGAGGGGATTTTAAGACAGCGCACCAGTGTGGCCTGAGCGGCACAGTCCAGAATTCACCATGAGATTGTACGAATAATCGCCATATTAAGTCTGATGCCCTCAATAAATTGACGGGATCATATGGCACCATCATTTGAACGAAGTCTCATGCACTTCTCTGAGGGTGGAGGGGTTATATTCCCACCTTCAATGCTAGACAAGGGCAGAGTGATATTTAAAAAAATTTCAGAGTGTAAAGAGTTTGGACAAAATCTCAGAGCATAAAGAGTTCGGACAAAGTCTCGTTCATTTCTCCTAGCACCGGTATGCAGGGGCAATACTCTCACCTATAATGCTGGACATGAGCAGAGTGCGGCCAGCGCTTGGTGTAGACCGGCACGCCGAGCTTCTTCCTGTGCTGCCAGAAGCGCGTGACGTCATCAGCCCTGATAAGTGAGTCAGCGTCGGAGTACAGAAAGAGCTGAGGCACTCGCCGGGGCTCCTGTTGATAATAATAATGTTATGACATTGTTATTCTTACTATACTATACTATAATTATAATTATTATAATTACAGATGCAATAACAGCCGCAATGTTATGTTATTTATTACCATTATTATTATTAGGAATATACGCCAGTTGCTATCATCTAAATGACAGCCTTAACGTTATTAAAGGAAGCCACGCCAGAGTTGCTGTGGCAAAAAAATGTCAACACAACCTTAGGAAAAATATTGAGCTGCAATAAAATTCTTGCAATCGAAGCAAATGACGTAGAAATAACGTAGCGAGATTATTGTATAGAAAAAATGATGATTTTAATGGAACTACGTTGATTATGATTAGATTTTGTACAGAAAACGTCAAATTTTTATGAAACGTTAAGCCAGCGCCCCTCATGGCGTGGCCAGCGCCCCAATCCCACCTGGACTAGGGCCCAGGGGAGACAATGGGACGGGGCCCTGGTACAGAGGGCCCAGACCCTCCTGGCGGCGCCCCACCCGAGGAACACAACCCACGCGCCCACCGCCGCCAAGATACGCAGCCACACCGGACCCCTCACCGCGTGGTACACGGCGCATGTTCCTGCAAGACGAGGTATATAATATAATTTTTTTATATCTTTTATTATATAATATAACTACCTCTTACAAGTATTATATAGCCTTATTATGTATAATGCATACTATCAGAGGGTATATACAAACGCAAACATCAAGATTATTCTTGGAGATAACGGTAACGCAAGTCCATTATGCTGATAAACTTAGTGCAGTGACAACTCAAGTACCATTGATGTTAGTCAAAGTTAGTAAGAATTTCAAATTTACTTACCCGACCACACCCTCCGTGGGGCAGGGCAGCTGTCGAAAACACATCCAATGAGGTTAATTGCTGGCTTCTTTTCTTCTTCTGCCTCAGAGTTGGAAATGTCCAGCACTTTGCTGAAGAAATAGTATAATGTGGCCCCTGTTTGGAAAATTTTTACTTTTAATATTAAGAAACAGCTGATTTTGGTTCTTTTCCAAGATATGAATTATTGGAGACCCATTAAAGAAGAATATTTAATGCAAGGTGAATAGCATTTTCAAATTCCTTCAATTCCCCTTGTGAATAAATGTGAATTAATTAATTTGAAAATTTTTTGAAAAATATGAAACATTTTTTCATTAAATTAACAAGCAACATAGAAAAATTATATTGGAATCATAAGATTGAAACATGGATCTCTAGAAATACTTCAAATCAAATGGAAAAGACTTCACTGTAGTATAATATCTCTGTCAGATAATAATAAACTACAAGAAATTAGGGCCAATATATAATTTTAAAAACTGGTTTGAAAACAGTTGTGCAATGTCATAGCAAGGCCTGTCTATTACCATGATTACTAAATATATGACAAATTAGAGGGTGAGTGTGAAGGTCCATTTCCTTCAAAACTGCGATGAGTTTTTCAGCAATGGGCTCCATGTATGAGCCGGGGCACAGGAAAAATTGGCAACACGGTGGTGCAGTGTAGCGAAGGCATATGCACCTGCCCAGTAATAATCAGAAAAACTTTTAATTTATTTATGCTATAACGATTTACTTAGAGGAATGTAATTAAATCTTACTGGATCATAGTATGTACACTTAAAATAAAAGTGAATTAAGTGTCATGAATGTATATATACTCAATATAAACAACCATCTTAATATTGCACAGCAATAGGAATGGAGCAATAATAATAATAATATAATAATAATATAATAATAATATAATAATAATAATATAATAATAATAATAATAATAATAATAATACAGAGTAACAATATTGATGCACTCACCCTCTAGCTGTATAGAGGCTAGCATATTTAGCAAGGTATTCATCTTGAGCTCCAAACCATCCTAGCATTAGAATCACAGGTTGTTTGTTGACACCACCTCTGCACATTCAATGAAAGCAATAAATTTTTATCTATTTAGCATGGATAAAGCAGTTGGGAAACAATCACAAATCAATAGTAAGAATGTACCTACTATTAAAGAGTATGGTATACATACACAGTACATCTCGAAATTTTTCAAATGCTACAGTGGATAAGATAAAATTATTGAAATCCTATAGGTATCAAATTAGGACTACTGGAACATACGGGAGCAGATCAGAAAGGTCCAAATCATCATTCTCAGACGTACAGGATGAAAACTGGATTGAAACATCTCTTTCCTTGATAGAATGAGGAACTGATTTAGTTGGCACTGCATCCTCAGGGGAAAACTTTCTATTCAGATCATCAATGTAGGGTCTTGGTGTAGGGAATGTGATTAAATACTCTAAATCATCATCCATTTCTTATTTTTACACATTAAACTGTAAACTAGTATAATCACAGTATAAATGACTATTATGTTAGCCTGTAAGAAACATACATTTTTATTATCATTCAGATGGCTACTTAGACAAATTATGATACAAGAAGCCCTAATACTGCTCTATTTCTAATACCATCAATGACCCGCGAGTTTTTACCACAAAGAAAGTTAGATTCTGCACTTAAATTGTCAAAGATAGTCAGATGCTGCACTTAACTTGTAAGTTGTAACTCACCAATGAAAGGCAGACATTAATTGTTAAACCAGAAGTTTAGATTTATAGGATTCAAATAGTTATAGTTTAGTTCACTCTATAAAATATAATATTTCCATGATTCATTAAAAGTGGTAACATTAGTGCAATGGCAAGTTGGCAACTCAAGGAATATTGAAAACACCATTCTTTTGCTTTTAGATAAAGATTATATTTACAGTGATTTAATTTGTGACATTTATAACAAATTTCACTTTGTAACATCAAATTATAATAGTGACAAACTGACAAGATTACAAATTAAAATTTTATACAAATTTATGCCATACTACAAAATTGAAGTTATAAATTTGTCTGTACTGTAGATTTATTCTTGCACTGGCACTTGGCAGTTGACTTGAAACTTCCAGAAATGCCAATATGGAATATTGGTTATTTATTTTAAAATTCTTTATAATTATACAATAAAAAATGGCAACCATGACTGTCATGACAGGTCAAAATAAACTGTTCTGTGGGCACGGGGCAAGGGACATTGCCTACCAGGCTACCAGTACCAGGCTACCTTGCCTAGACCCTAGAATATTATAAAATATAAATTACTTAGCTTTTCACAGAACTCTGACTCTTCTATTGAAATAATATATTTTTTATCAAAAATCCCTATGAAATGAAATTATAGTTTCGATTTTCTGCCTGTAATTCTTGGTGAATTTCTTTCAACATCCCAGATTATTCCAGTGCTAATCATCAGCAGCTAATGCACCAGGAGCCTTGTACCAGCCTAATTCTTTTAACTCTAAGTAGTTGGTTGGAAAACTAAGTGCCAAGTCCCCAACTAGCTCCGGCAAGACAATGGCCTCAAGGCACGAGGCTGAACTCTCAACTATACTATCTCAAGCTGTCAAGCATAGAGACCACAGCAATAAAATAAAAAAGGCCGATAGATACAATGTACTTGTACTCAGAGTCTCAGTCTAGAAACATTTGGACATGCTCCATGTTCAGCAACATGCTAATTTATAGTAACTTGCGATGGTGCGAAGCATGGTAGGTGCATGAAAAATGAGCCAACATAGTAAATGTCACTAAGCTGTCTTAGCAGTACATCTTGAGTCCCACAGTCCCACTGATCCACCTCGGTTGCCATGACAACGGCGACATGTAAACATTGAAAACGGCGTTCAGACGCAAGTAAACAAAATTGTCACCACTATAGGAATCGATCATACATTTTTAGAAATTTCGTTAATTTCGTTAACGCGAAAAGTAAATAAAATAGAAAGCAATAATCAATTATTTTTTTTTCAGAGTGGAGTTTATGATTATATGGTATCAGGCAATGAAATTAATATGAGAACATAAATTCTGCTCTGTTGCATTCGATTAGCATATTATTGTTGGGAAAAACAGTGTTTGGTCATAAATGTTTAAATCGATCCTGTAGGAAACAGACCGGTCGGACAAAAGCGCGTGGGCGTTAGCGTGGGTTACAGCGTGGGCCAGCCCGGCCCTGAACCTGCCCTATACCAGCTCTGCCTTTAGCCACGTTTTATTCCCTCAATTCGTAACCAATAATTATGAAAGTTAATATATGCTTTAACATGCTTATTGCGCAGTCGCGACGATTTTTTGTA